TATAATATGCTATTTTTTCGCCTTATGAAATGCATGTCGCTTTTCGTGATACTTAAATGTAAACCACGGCTGCAATTTATTTTTAAATATTTACTTTTGGGTACAGGCTTTGAACCAAACGGCCCTGCAGCTGTATCAGTATACAGATTATTAAGATTTTCAACAAAAATATTCAAATGATCATCTCTATTCGTCTCAAGCTCACTCAGCTTGTTTGTCAAACTCCAAGCATCAACTAACATTTTTTTTACAATACTGTCTATAAAATAATTTTTTTCTTTTGATCAACCAACCGAACTGGTTTTCAATCACACTATCGTGGATTGTAATTGTTATTTAATCATTTGCATGCATGATTGAATCGGCAGTTATACATCAGAGATCAATGAGTCAAAATCTTTCACTTCAAATTCATTTACGATAAGATAAGATAAGATATTTTATTTTCCAAATTAGGTCCCCAGGGCGGCATACACATATAACAAATATAATCTTTACAACATACAGTATTTTACATGACATTCATATAATACACCTAAAATATTGATATAAAGTCATACAGGCTATTATATGTTAAAATAAAAGTATTTAAGAGTTGCTACTCCAGAGATGTGGCAAATGTTCTTCTCACTTGATTTTATAATATTTTTGCCTGAAATGTATAAATATAATTGATTGTTTAGCTGCAATAGGTACCAAGGGACGATGCTCTAGGATTGTGAGCTTAAGAGCTCTAACAAGCCTCCTCGTATCTGATGCAGAGAAACAAACGTAAATGTAACAAAAGTTCAAGTTTATTCACAGCAAATAAAATATACTGCAGTAATAGGTATTGAGAATAGTGTAGGTTTCCCTACTGCAACAAACACAAAGGGGCGGTGCTCAAGGAGCTGTGTTATTTACACAGTCCGCGTGTCTGAAGCAGACAAAAAAGCCACATAATTAACAATTTTTAGAAATAAATTTACCAGCATCAGTGAAAATTGACATCTTCTGTGTTCATAAGCCATATCAGTTTATCTCTTCAGTTGTCAACGTATATTTGTTCCGTCTAACAGAAGTTCCACTGGAATTTTTTTTATAAACAATGTCATAATATCTGTTCCTGTTGGAACAAATATTCTATACCATTTATTCCGTAAGGAACATTTGCTGTAATATTTATTCCAGTGGAAATAATATTCCAGAATATTTTTTCCATTTGGAACTTATATTATGAAGGAACTTCTATTCCGTGACAGAGTTAAGAGTTTAAAAATTGGGGCAACTTTTAGTTATTTCTTGAAATAGATGAATGCGATCATTAAATTTAACACATTGGAATAGAAAATGATATTCATCCTCCACATATCTGGGGTTACAACGAGTACAAGTTCTGTCATTTAGGAGAGTACTCTGATACCTTCCGGACTCAATTCTTAAGTGGTGTGATGAAATTCTGAGTTTTGTTAAGCTTCGTCTCTGTTCATAATTCCCCATAATGGAAAGATATTTTTCTCTTCCAAAATTTGATTTAAATGTAACATAAGTTCTAAGTTTACCATCTGAATACTTTACCAGTTCAGTGTGCCATAAGTCTATAAAATATGATTTTAGAATTTTTTTCATATTAGCTTTGAAGCTATTAATTTTTGGTAATGATAAAGATATATGATTGATATCTGGGATCATTTCAAGAATTGACTTCATAGAGCCATACCAAGATGGTTTTTTTGAATGAAAAAGTTTTTGAGATGTTACATAAACGTCTTTGAGAAGAGAAAATCTGGAATCAAGATTTTCCAAGCGATACCATTAATCGAACATAGATTTAATTATATCATAATATAATGGGAATCGCCCTAGCTGAGATAAAATTCCAAAATTAGGTTTTTTTTTTTATGAACACATAAAACCGTTTATTATATTTGATATGTAGTCGCTCACATTTTAAACTGGAATAGACTTTATCAAATGGTAAAGTTCTTTCTCTGAATCTTGCTGAAAATGGGTTAAAAGTTCACCATATTTCAGACCCATATAGGAGTATTGGTTTTATGGTATGATCAAATACATGTAAACTGGTACTTATGCTTGGATTAAGTGATAACAAATTCTTATACAATTTATAATAAGCCTTCAAAAACTTTATATACAGTTCAGTCTGAGCATATGAAAATGACCCTGATGCACTAAAGTGCAAACCAAGATATTTATAATTATTAACACTATCAACCAACTTATTTTCATAAGTAAATTTTTCACAAATGTGTCTGCCTGCTTTGTTGAATATCAGAACCTTTGTTTTGGTGGAATTTACACTTAAACGCCAATCTTGACAATATTTTTCCAGGATGTTTAGTCTTGTTTGCAATCCTTTAGCAGATGTTGAAGGCGAAACAACTCCCTTCCTTCTATCAATATGTATTAAACTTCTCTGCTACTACACAATAATCTTTCAAACTATTTTTGTTGCTTGTGGCTTTACCTATTCCAGTATCTTTACCAATTCTACCGTTCGCAATAAACAAACTATCATTTTTGCAGAAATGTAACAGTTTATAACCATAGTTATTACAACGAGATTTATCTTCATTAGCTCTGTTTAATGTGATAAAATAATCTTGACAATTTTCGAAAATCGTCCACAAAGTTAACTATTTCATTATGGTTGTCTATATTCAAGATGCAACAAAGTTCCTCATGTACAATGGCATTGTATAACAATTTTAAACATATTTTAATGTTCTCGCTCTATTCGGTCAAAAGGCATCTGGGGACGAATATTTCTAGTTTTCTGGAGGGATATTTACCTATCCTTATAAAGTATCAAAATTGTCAGCTATCCTTTTATAGACTATTTAATTAAATAATTGATATATTATATATTTAAAACTAGAGGCTCCAGAAAGCCTGTGTCGCTCATCTAGGTCTATTTTCATCTTCAACAATGGACACTCTCCAATATTGTGGACTAGAACAGATTCATGACAAAAATCTCATTTTGTTGATCTTGTATTGCTGATAATTTTTTCTGTTTACAGTTTCTCTCAATGAGAAAACTATCCACCAAAGTTCAAATGAAGTGGATGTAAGCAATTATAGGTAACCGTACGGCCTTCAACAATGAGAAAACCCCATACCATATAGTCGGCTATAAAAGGCCTGGACATGAAAAATATGAAACAATTCAATTGAGAAAACCAACGGCCTACTTTATAACAAAACAATTTACGAAAAACAAATATGACAGACATGAACAAACGACAACCACTGAACTACAGGCTCCTGATTTGGCATAAAGATTTCAGCAAAATTTGACTTATTTGTAGATCTTGTTTTGCTGAACATTTTTACTAATCTATCTTTTATAGTTTAAAGATGATAGGCAAAAACGTAAAATATTGGTAAAAATCGTCAATGAAGAGCAAACATTCGAACAAGGATTTGTATACAAATCTTTGACTCGAATAAAGAGTCCACTCACAATTTCGGATATGTTGACTTGTTTGTAGATCTTGTCTTGCTAATTATTTTTGGCCAAATTTCTCTCCGTATATTATAATTTTCAAGATGATAAACAAAATTGAAAAAAATGGTAAAATTCGTCATTTAAAGGCAATAACTCCTATAGATAAGAAGTCGTCTGACAGTTTTGATGTAAATGGACAAGAAGGTAGATTTTACCATTCTGAACATTAATTCCTTTGTCGGATTTTCTCTATTTATAGCGGTTTTCAAGAGAATAGACAAAACTTGCATATTACCCCTATGTTCTATCGGGGTGACCCGGTCATCGGACACTTTTATAAACTAAATACCCTAATGATGATTGTTGCCAAGTTTGGTTAAATTTGGCTCAATAGTTTCAGAGGAGAAGATTTTTGTAAAAGTTAACGACGACGGAGCCAAGTGATGAGAAGGCATACCTGGCCCACAGGGCCAGATGAGCTAAAAAGGGGAACCATTCCCCATGCAAGCGCATGTGATGTTAATTTACAACGCTTAATTGGTTAAGTGTGTTAAGTAAATCTGATTGAAATATCTGTAAGCAAAGCGTGGACACAGGATATATATGTAAAGGTTAGACAATACTTGGTCATGTTTTATGAAGATTTAAAGCCCAAGGCGTAGCCGAGGGTTTTAAATGTTCATAAAACATGACCAAGTATTGTCTGACAAATTTAAAACATATTCACACTTTCGAGTGACCTTACAAAATTATCCTTTCCCATTGTAATATTCAAACCTTGATAAGAATTGGAATGTATAACATAGGTAATGATCATTTCAATGGATGGAATGAAATAGCACTAACATAGTTTTGTGAGGACAAAAAGGATAAATTGTTCAAACATTGAGTTTTTCTTCTGCTTCAGGTAAAATTTAATACTTATATACCTTAAATTTCTTGATTTTAAAAAGCACACAATGTTATATAAATCAGCTTTTTGAAATTTGTATATTTTTTGATAATTATAAAACTCACTCTATAAATATTTGATTAACAACCATTCAAAATCAGATGCTTACTTTTTATTGATGAATGTGCATGTATTGTGTTTTTTTTCGAAAAAAAATCCTTTGCTTTATATATCAGTAGTCTGACATTGTTTTCTTGAAAGAAAAAAAAAAAATAATTGACTCGAAATTCTGGTATCAAAATTGAATAAAAAATTATCTTACCTACATCTTTGCCCCATTTCATTTTTTGTTTGTTAAATATATGTACCATGATAAACATTTGCAAAATTCAAAATGTATTTAATAATTCTATTCTCTTTCATTTTTAATCAGTAGGCTATTTTCCCAGGGAAAATGACTTAGGAGATTGTACACTTCGTTAGTGTAGTTATTAAGATTTCCCTTTCATAATTAATCTACAATGAAAAGTCATTCATGTAAAGCATTTCATAGTGCATGGAAATTAAGCCATGTACTATGACAATTAGAAGGGAAAAACTTACTTTTCATTGGACGAGAAGGGGTGGGTATGTTCTAATTCAATCAGATTGTGTGTTATGAAGATTTTTACCTGTTGTTTATTTTATTGAAAGCGCTATTTTTAGTTTCTACAAATTTATGTTACGTGGTTATATTTATATACGACTTTTTTACTCGGCTAAGTAAATTGACCTCACTGGTCAGTTCCTGCTGTGGAAATAGAGGTTAACGGATGTAAGTATGAACTTAAGATTGTATAGTATTTTGTTACCAGTGTGTATAATATATATACACGCATGTATATCATGATACAATTATTGATTATAAAATTTGTGTCATTATTTTGAAATAGCCATTACCAGAGATATCCAGGCCTTTTACCCTGACATTACATGTATACGACAACATGTGAAAATATTGGAGTACATATCGACGAAGTTCAAGCATCACAAGCTACTCTTTGATTTTGTTTTCATAACAGATTGTTTCAGAGACGGTTAAAATTTAGAGGCTTTCAACAGGAACCTAATCAAATGTTACACTGACCAGGAAATAGTATACTAATAATATATTATGTGACTGTCCCGGCACTAGCATATATTGATTGTTGTCTGCCTTAACGTTCAGTGGCAAATATTTTATACGTATTATTGCATTGCAGTAATATAAAAGTCTTATTGAAATTATATATAGAATAAAAATGTAGAAGATCATATAGGAGTTTATTTTCTTTCGAAGACATACATGTATATGTACGTGGTGATGTTATCTGTGTAAAATACCCGATACACCTGTTGTGTCTAACCTGTGATAATACATAATTTTTCTATTGCTCCAAGTGTTGACTAAGTCATCGATCCAAAACAATCGTCTCAGGTAAGTTACCTTTATCTCATAGAATGTTAATAGATTCCTTGTGTATAAGATTAATACAATGAGACGATACCCGAGTGAGCTAGGTTGCATTGGATTTTAATGGTTATGATCATGTTCACTGATGGGCTCAATGTATATAGATAATAAGAAGATGTGGTATGAGTGCCAATGAGACAACTCTCCATCCAAGTCAAAATTTATAAAAGTAAACCATTATAGGTCAAAGTACGGTCTTCAATAAAATATTTATTTTTCATTAAACTGAAAAGGTACTTCATCTCTTTGGTAGCTGTAATGGTTTGAAGTCTCTGGTAAAGCAAATAAGTATAACCAAACAGATCAACGAGTAAAATGTCGCATTTGTATAATTTTGTCTATATTCATATGCTCTCTACAATTATTTTTGTAGTTCTACTTTTAAAATTCTTGTTATTTGTTTGCTATAATCAGAGACATAAATACAACGATTTCTAGTAGCTTTTTAGAAAAGAAATGATTTAATCTGAGATAAGTTTTCCCATTATTTTTCTTGGTTAGCTATCGGGGGTTATTGGTCCCCGATTTGTATAGTAATTATCGGCGAGATTCTCATTCGGGGCCGCGCTATTTAACGTGATTTCACGGAGTTGGCAATCTCTGTGTATATGTGTCTCTGCTATAATTTCGTGTCTTTATCGATCAGATAACGACAGAAACATGTATTTTAAACTTTAATAGTTTTAAGTCGTATTTATTTGGAATTGCGTAACAAAGAATGTACATAATTTGACGATCAGACCAAAAACTATTATAGAAAAACCTAGATTTATAATCCCCGCTTCCGGCAAAATATGTAATTACATTACATTTGGTTTAATTTTGCATGTCAGTAAAGCTTTGACATAGTATGTTATATGGTTTATTCAGTTATTTTGTTAAGCGTTCAAATATACGGATGTACTTGTATATGTAGCTCCGTCAGACTTACAGCATTAAGTTGTTGTGTAGGAAGTTAAACGCCAAAAACTACCCCCTAAACATAGCTTTCCATCGATATATTACATGTAACTGTGTGGCCAAAGTAACTAAAGGGTCATATAAGTATAGCCGGGTTGAATGGCGTTCCGAAGTTATATGATGATGACGATGTGGCATCTTCGCAAGCCAAAGGTTACGATCCAGTCCCCTCCTCTCAGAGGAGGGGCCTCGATCGTAACCCTTGGCTAGAGAAGATGACGATGTGGATGCATTGGTGTTTAATATTTAGTGGGCAAATATCACATGCATATCAGAACGAGAACATGTAAATGCTATATAAACACGAAAGCTGCTTTATACGATGTTATACCATACCGACTGTAACACTGAACCGAATGTGTAACGTGCTAGTTCACAAACTAGCAGTCGGTGGGAAGACGTGCCACCCTACCTGCACACATTATTCAAACTCTGAGCCGACCAGTCTTTGCTCTTTTAAATTATAAAAGCCGCGTGCTTAGCGGAGAAGCAGCAATTACCAATTTTAAGTCTAATGAAATCAAGAAAGAATATTTCGATCCTTAAACTTTTATTTTAACAGTCCGACAACAAGGAAAAAATAAAAATAAAAAAAAAATAACGATGATGTAGCATATTTTGAATGACAACATGTATAGAAGCAAATGTTCTGTTTTTTTATGCCCCAGCCGAAGCGGAGGGGGCATTAAGTTTTACTCTTGTCCGTCTGTCCGTACGTCCCAAAATTGGTTTCCGTTCTCTAACTTAAGTTTGCCTCAACCAAATGTTATCAAACTTAAACACAATGCTTATTACCACAAAACACAGATAAACTTTGAATTTTGGTGGCGTCACTTTAACCGTTTTAGAGTTATGCTCCTTTATAAATGGAAAAATTACAAACATTTTCATTTCCGTTCTCCAACTTAAGTTTGCCTCAACCAAATGTTATGAAACTTGTACACAATGCTTATTACCACAATACACAGATCAAGTTTGAATTTTGGTGGCGTCACTTTTACTGTTCTAGAGTTATGCCCCTTTACAAATGGAAAATTTGCAAATGGAAAATTTGCTAAATTTTTCATTATTTTTCTAAAAATATCAATGATGTCATTGTTCAAGTAATTTTTAAAATTGGAGTTATCTTCCTTTGTCCATGATTATAGTTGAATCAACAACAATCAATGCTTTATACAATGCAATGTTTAATTTTGCCTTCCACTGATAAAACACAGATCAAATTGAATTTGGGTAGTGTCACTTTAACCATTATTGAGTTATGCCCCTTTATAAATCGAAAAATTGCAAAATTTTTAGTTTCCGTTCTGTAACTTAAGTTTGCCCCAACCAAACATGAAACCTATACACAATACTTATTACCACAAAACTAAGATCAAGTACAAATTTGGGTAGCGTCACTTTTATTTTTTTGAGTTATGTCCCTTTATAATGTTGTATGCAAGCGGGGGCATCATCTGTGTCCATGGGGACACATTCTCCATTTATTTTTTTTAACAATGATAATTAATTCATTAGTCTAAAGCTGTTACGATTACCTTAGTGAACGACACAACATTAACAAACAAGTTACCCTGATATAGTAATATTCTTAATGTCATAAAGATAACGCTAACTTTATGATTGTTAGTTAGTTACCGTCACAGTACCAAACTTGTTTTTTTAATTTTCTTTTTTTTGTCCTTCTATTTCGGTTATCTTGCGAACAGAATTCGTATTCTAATAATGAAAAATATCACGCATATAACTTCAGTTTGACGATCTCAATAGAAGTTCCATGGTGTATGTATATTTAGTCAAAAAGTTATGCTACATCAAAATTCAAGGAAAAAAGACGACACTATTTTATATTTTTTTGGTGAAGTAGTGCATCATTTGTCATAGATTTAGCATTTCATTGCGCATAATAAAATTTTCTTCTTTACAGAATGGGTGCTAAATCAAGCAAAACCGGATACTCCAATAAGGGGAAAGTTTTACAACAACAGCCTGTCCAGCCGACGCAACCTCCCTACAATGGCATTCCATGTGATTACCAATTTCTTAGAATTGACATTCCTTTTACTATTCAAATGAACTTATCATTTCTAAGCAATCCAAATATGCAAATGGCTACATCAGATCCAAATGCATATGTACCGCATCTAACGCAGATGTATGATCTTGGGTACCGGCTTTTGTCCTTCCAGCTAACGCCGGGATCTATTCAATCATCCGGATTTATGTCCATGACATCTACTACAACACTTCGGGCACAGGCAATATTCCGAAAGAATGAACCAAAATTCCAACCAGATGAAAGATTTTCGCTGCAAGTAATCAAGTCATCGATTGAATCTGGAACATTTCTTACTGGAGTTCATTTTATGTCCCATACATCGTCACAAACACAGACGCAAACTCAGCATTTGTATCAAATGATAAATGACTACGCATGTCGAGGGTGTCGTCTGCGCTGTATAGAGATCACCGGATGTTACAGACCTCCACAAGATCTGAATATGTACGGTCCTCAGACTATGGGAGTAGGAAGTGGTATGGCATATGGACAGGGTCACTTGCATTCGAGGAGCAGGAGTGAGTACAATTAACTTAAGGACTATCCTGAAATCATACAGGCCAAACACACGAATTTGTCCCTTTCAATTTTATGCCTATTCGAACTAGAGGTCCGACGAGTTTATCCAATATACTGCTTACAAAAGAGAGGCGAAAGATACCAGAGGGACATACAAACTCATAAGTTAAAAATTAACTGACAACGCCATGGTTAAAAAAGAAAAAGACAAACAGACAAACAACAGTACACAAAACACAACATAGAAAACTAAAGATTAAGCTACATGAGCCCTAAAGAAAAAAACAAAACTGGGGGTACAGCAATCTGATTAAAATACAGATCCCGTGTCTAAGCTGTGCTTGTTAGCAAAGCTTGGATACACAGGATCTGTATTTCAATCAGATTGAGCCTACCGATATATCAGATAATTGGATATACTCTTCTGGTTATTGTGTTTCAAACGTATATTCACAGGAGACACCGAGAAAAACCATGATTTCGTTGAACAATTCGGCACACAAAAAATCTTTTTTACATAGGCAAAACGATGAATTACTTTTTTGTTTTAATCCAATACTAGTACATGAAATCTTTTATTAATGATTGAACAAAACAAAATCATATTCTTTTTTTTTCATATTTCGTAGCTAATGCCTCTTTAAATACCCACGAAATGCTGATACATTATAAAGAATCAATGCATTGTTAACTGTTTCTTTTCGACTTTTTAGTCCCCTACCGACGAAGTCGAAGGGGACTATAGGTTTGCACTCCGTCCGTCTGTCCGTCTGTCTGTCTGTCCATCTGTCCGTTTGTCTGTCCGTCTGTCTGTCTGTCCATCTGTCCATCTGTCCGTCTGTCCATCCGTCAGTCCGGCAAATCAGCTTTCCACACTTTTTTTCTTCGTTCTTGAAGATACTGATTTGATATTTGGTATATAGTTTTATATTGAAAAGTTATAGATCAATTTCGAATTTTGTTCCGGTCTGATGATTTAGTCCAGAGTTATGGACCATAACTCTGGACCATATCTAATGTTAGAGTACTATGTTAAACCATATTTCTGTACAAAGGGAGATAACTAATTTTGTAAAAGACATTCTTTGTTAAATTATTTGAAGAATTTTTTGGCGGGTTTGTTTGTTATTTAGTATAAACTAATTTTCTGAATGCTATATATATAAAAAAAAATTATGAAGAGAAATCCTTTTATTAGATAATAATCTATTTTTATTAATGTATATATTTCAATACATTACATTGTGTAAATAAAAGTTGTTGACATTTTATAGATAACTTACAAATCTATATTAGTTTGTGACAAATGAAAGAAAAAATATTTGGAACTATTAATTATATTTGATTATAATTTGAAAATAGATATACACTGTATTATATCATATCTAATTTTAGAGAACTATTAATCATATCTAATGTTTTTTTCATCATGCTTATAAGATATTGATTGATAATTGGTATATAGTTTTATCATGACAAGTTACAGATCAAGTTCAAATTTTTGTCTCGGTCTAATAATTTTGTGCAGAGTTATGGTCCTTGGACTTGAAAAAATTCACTCATATAATCAGTTTTCCAAACTGTTTTTAATCATGCTTGAAGATATTGACATGATATTTACTTTCTGTTTACACCATGACAAGTTATAGAACAAGTTAGCATTTTGTTCCAGTATGATAAAAATTTTACCCGGTAGGGGACTATGTATTGCCATGCAATACTCTCAGAATGCCTGTTGTAATTTGGATATACGTTATAGTATGCAATAAATCAAATATGAGAATTTGAGTCAATCGATGAACACGAATTTGACAGCTAATGCCCCTTTAAAGGAAGAAAGTTTTAAGTCGTCAGTTGAGGTGAAAATAAAATGTTAAACGATTTTGTAGGCATGGTTTTTAGTTTTTATTTGAAAGTAAGAATTTGTATATGAATTATTCGTTTATCTCCTAAATAAATTTCAATAGTAACACAAATATTCACCAATGTCACATATTAGTTTTGTACTTTTTTTGCGAGTGACTATAAATATTTTTTTTGAATTTGGTTTAATAAGTAATTATAAGAAAAATGTGAATACAGCAGAATCTTAGAAACCTAGGTACTGTAAAACTCGAATCAGTAGTAAACAAGGTTACTACTGCACACCCTAGGAGACTAGTTTTTTTTTGTCGTTTTTATAGAACATTTTGTCGTTTGTGTAAAGTGATTGTCCGATTATTGATTGCATGAATATCATGGTATTTAGCCTCCAACGTTGGTCCCCAACAACCTATATACCATAATTCCATTTGTTTTGTGTTCGAAAAAGTACACAATTCTCTTACATACAACCTGTTTAAAATACCATTGAAAGTCATCTTCTGTTTAAAATCAACATAACAAGATTTAGCTCTCATGGCAAGATCAATTAATTTTATTTTGTCCGTAATACGCCGTTCAAAATGTAATAAAACTCTGGGAAATAATTTCAAAAGCATATACTAAATCGTTGTGATTGGATAACAACATCCTAAATAATGGGAATTAAACCAGCGACGTGATATTATTCTCTCGCCTGCGAGCGACGAAAGTTTTCGTCGCAGTATGCGAGTCATAGGGATTAGTATCAGGCGGCGGCAGTGGCGATGTAAACTATTTGTATATATAAAGCTTTATATTTCAGAAGATAGAAGACCTTGATACTTCACACTTTGAATGCGATTACCTTATGTTACGAAGTTTCCGTCTGTCATATGTCCATAGTCCTTGACCTCATTTTTATGGTTCAGCGACTGCTTGAAAAAATAATTAGAATTTTGTCATGTGAATTTCTCACTTATTATGAGTAATAGGATTACTATATTTGGAATATGGGTTCCTTGCAACGTCTACATGTCCGTCAGACACGATTCATCTGATCTCGACCTCATTTCATGGATCAGTGATCAAGGTTAAAGTTAGGCGGGTAGGTCCGTTTCTCAAGATACTATAAGCAGTAGTTCAACTATATGTGGTGTATGGCATGATTGTAAGAGGTGCATGTCAGTTTGGCAGGTTTCATCTGACCTTGACCTCATTTTCATGGTTCATTGGTCAATGTTGAGTTTTTGTGTTTAGGTCTGTTTTTCAAGTACTATTAGTAATAGCTAGGTCAACTACACGTGATGTATGGAATGATCGTAAGTGTACATGTCTGTATGGCTGGTATCATCTTACCTTGAACTCATTTGCATGGTTCTTTGGTCAATGTTAAGTGTAATGTTAAATTGTAAGATGTAAATGTACATGTCTGTTTGGCAGGATTTATCAGACCTTGACCTCATTGTGATGTTAAAAGTTTATGCGATACTCGTAGTAAAACCTTTATCTTACAATCATACAATACACTTGGTATACATAAAATACAATAGTACCTGTATTTTTTAATTCGTTTTATAAAACTACAAGCAAATTGGAGAATCTTGCAACAGCAATATTAAGAGACAAACAACAGTTTGCTGAAATCTTTTAACACACTGTGGCATAACTTATTTTGGAAATAGAAAAAAAGACTGTCATTAAGTTATCAAATTACCAAATTGAGAATGTGCTTCAATGAAACTGAACAAGATATTATGTTTAAGTTTACGAAATATATGTCTTAATTTTTTTCTTTTACGGTTCAGATAACAGTTAGTGGAGTATGGCGTTAACTGCTGTAGGAATTTCGATAAACTTATTTCAATTCGACATATTTTCTAATGATATTATTATTGTTGCTGTTTTTAGTTTATGGTGTCGATTTATTCTTTGAAATACCACAACACCCTTCACCGGAATTGTACCAGTACCAAGCTGTCCCACTGAAATTTACGGCGCAGTTAAATGTTAGCATGGGATTCGGTACGCCAAATCAGAATTGGGGGTTACAATTAGACTGGCAAGGAGTAATGAATCAATATCTGGGAACAGGGTGGCGTCTTATAGAAGTGTTTAACGACATGTCAGCTGATACCTCAACTGGTATGACTGGTTTTGGTTCAAGTTCAACCACATCAGTTTTAAACATAATCTTTATATTTGAGAAATCCCAGTCTCGTTTGAATGACAACACACCAATGTATGAAGGAACGATGGTTGAATACCAAGCACCTGGGTCAGTATCAGCCGGGATTGGCACGTCTACTATGGTAATAGATACTAACTGGGACAATGTTATTGCAAATATGGGAAATCAAGGATGGGAACTTATAACCATACTCCAAACACCAGCAACAACAACTAAAATGCAGTTTATGGGAGCTTCAATGACAAGTTTGATGTGGATGTTTTTCCAACGACAAATAGTGTCAGCCTCTCTACCACCATTGGGATTTGATCCTCCCGCTCCAGTTCTCCCTTACAAGCAATAATGATACTGAAGGCTTTGAAACTGCATTGTTTATAAATAGTGATTTTATGGGATATTTTTTTATGTTATGGCCATGAAAGTTGATTTAAATGAAAATTGTAATGCTGCATTTTTACATCTTTTTTTTATACCGACACAAAGTATTGTATTTTATATTTGTTTATGCTATCAATATTCGTTTATTGAATTAACCCCCATTAGTGGTTACCATTTGTTTTATCCAATTGTTTTGTGCGTGTGGCTGGGGAATGCGGAATTGATGACATATCTTAAATATTCTATATTAAAATCTTTTAACTATTTGTCAAAACGATTTAGAATTTGACGAAGTGTAATAATGACACGTGTCTTTTATTGAACAGATTGTGTTGACTTTTAATTTTTTTTTTATGTCTTTGGGTTGATGTCTTATTGAAAGACACCACACATCTCATTTTGTTAATATCGACTTACATTTACTCAATTCATATAAAAGAAGAACCTGCAATGAGATGAAAATTGGGAGCTTGGAGACATGGGGAAGAATAGATAGAAAGGGATAGAAACAAGAGAAATTTCAAGAGGAGAGAATGATAAAAGAACGAAGAAAAGGGACAGGGAAGGCGAGAGACTGAAAAAAATCGTTGTAGACGAATGAGAAAGGAAGGGTATAATGAGAGAATCGACAGAAAAAAAGATAATTTAAAAGCTATCTCGGTCCATTATAAATACCCCCATTGTTGTGTTTTTGTGTTTTCTGGTATTCAGATTTAACAAACATTTTTGTACATATGTAGCTCAGATTAATATAATGTTTCTTATTTTATTTCTTGTGCTTCACAAATTTAAACTCATTGAATATAAGTTTCTCCCTAAGAAATCTTTTACTTTTTTACGAGTATATATTTGTTTTATTAACTACAATCGAGAGGAAGCACTAGTCGAATATTGAGTGGAAACACTAATCATATGTTGATAGAAAACCACTAAAAAAATGTTGAGAGAAAACATATCAAGTTATAAAGAAAAACTCTTATCAAATGTTGAGAGGAAAACACTAATCAAATTTGAGAGGGAAACACTAATCATATGTTGGGAGGAAACACTAATCAAATGTTTGAGAGGAAACATTAATCAAATGTTGAGAGGAAACACTAATAAAATGTTCGGAGGAAACACTAATCAAATGTTGAGAGGAAACACTAATCAAATGTTGAGAGGAAACAATAATCAAATGTTGAGCGAAAACAATAATGAAATATTTATAGGAAGCACTTATCAAATGTTGGGAGGAAACACTAATCAAATGTTGAGAGGAAACACTAATCAAATGTTGAGAGGGAAACACTAATCAAAATGTTGAGAGGAAACACTAATCAAAATGTTGAGAGAAAACACTAACCAAAAGTTGAGAGGGAAACACTAATCAAAAGTTGAGAGGAAACACAGATCAAATGTTTAGAGGAAAACGCTAATCAAATGTTGAAAGGAAAACAAATATCAAATGTTGAGATGAAAATACTAATCACAAACCATACTTGCAATGAAATAAAAACCATACGTAATTTAAAGTAAGTAAAAGGGAAAATATTTACAACATACTTAAATTAAGCAATGAAACGGTTAAATACCTCATATATAGATTTTTCAAATTAAAAAAAGTTAAACATCGAGACTTATATAAAGCTCGAGTCCTACTAAAGTTTTGTTACTATCTTGTAAAGCTTCATAATACTAAACAGTACAGCATCTACCACAACATATGCACACGTCGGCAGATTATGCTTTTCAATGATGCGTGATGCCAAAACATGTAAAAATCTAAAATCTAATAAACGAGTGTTGAAAAGTTGATATAACTGAAAGGAATCAAAAGTATAGGCACACCCGAAAAAGGAATCGGAGCTATGCACAAGGGAGAAGCAATGCTGACATTTTAATTGTTTCCTAAATTTCGATTGAACAAAAATCCGTATTTTCCTGCAAATACTTAGCGACTTGGCTGGCGATGCCATCGGCGTGCATATTGTCAGGATTTTGATATTTTCGGTACCAAAGAAAATTGCATCATTATCCAATTACACAACACTTGTGACTGAAATAACGTTCAACAGTTACGCTCGAAATCAAACATTTCAAAAGTGTGACATACTGAATGTTCGAGAAAAAGAATAGATAAAAGTGTCGCATAAACAAAATTTGCAAAACTTTACCTGAGTTTTGGTCATATAATGCAGAATTCATACAGAACCTTCTCAAAGTCGGTGGGAAAAAGTATCTTAAAAAATTCTTAAATTTCACTCTCAGACAGATATATTGATGATGTCCTGTCACTAAAAAACCCACATTTCAGTGAGTGCTTGCATCATATATATATCCCAATGAACTTGAGATTAAGGATACTGCCGACACTAGAAGGATTGCTTCATATCTTGATAATTTCCTTGATATTGCCATATTGACGACTTCAAACTAGACTAAATGTCAAACGTATTGATTTAACCTTTCTTATGGCCAACTTCCCATCTCTCAGAAGTAACATACCTTCTGCTCTATCGTATGGCGTTTGTATATATCACTCAATATGTTATGCTCATGCATTTTAACACTTGTCAGACTTTCATAAACAGAGATGTGATCCTTACATAAAAACTACTCAAGCAGAGTAATCAGCCTTTACCTTCATAAATTGGTTGTCTTTGTCTCAACTCACGCACGACATGTTTACGCAGTCTAAGATCTTTAGATACCAGAACAGTAGTTTGATCTGTAATTTTACCGATTGTGAAATTTTGATTGAGTGTGTATTTGCATGGCGAGTGATGCTAGAATAGCTTCTGTCGATGCACCGGTTTCACTCATTTATGATTTCAGTAACTAAAATGTTGTCTGTTATATTGATTTGCATCTTAATTAATTTATAAGATATACTCGCCCTGCAAAGGTCAGAATGCTGAATGGACCTACAGCGTAATGTTAGGTATAAAAGTCAGGTTATTGTAGCTACCATAGCTTTTTGCAATTGTAAAACATATCAATCGACAGTTATGTAGTTAATTTAGATATGACAAAGATGTTTTACCGTTTTTAATTGTTCTAGATAGAATACGGTATTTAAAGTATGATCAAACACTGGTCAGAATTATGTGTGACTGTTACCTTGTGAATTCGTTGAAATCCTTCTCTATATGTCGGTCTAGTACAAAGGGCATCCATATCTATATCCCAATAACATTCTTTCGTCCTGATATACATGTAATGTTTGCTACTAGGCATCATCTATCATATTCACATATGTTTTGACGTAGAACCTTGGCCTGATTGACCCATGGAATAAAATAAAAGATAAAATTTTAGTTTCTCATTTTGACCCATGGAATAAAATAAAAGATAAAATTTTAGTTTATCATTTTTTTACACTTTAATATTGTCTGAGAAAACATGATTTGTTTATTAGATTTTATTGGCATTGGACAAGTTTTTAATAACTGGAAGTACCCTTAGATCGGTACTATGTGTTTTATGTATTCATCTTAGATGCTTTCGAGATTTTAAACCGACTTGATGAATTAAACCATTTCCAACTGATTTTAATAGTCTGTTCTTAAGTTATGTTGTTAAACCATTGTCCCAGGTTTTTTTTTGGGGGGGGGGCTGGGCGCCCACAAACATGTTTAACACCGCCACATTTTTAATGTGCCTGTCCCAAGTCAAGAGCCTGTAGTTCACTGGATATCGTTGGTCGCTGCCTGTCATATTTGTGTTTTCGTTTTTTTATTGTCCTATATCAAGCCGTTTGTTTTCCCGTTCGAATCGTTTCACAATTTGTAATGCATATGTCTTTTATAGATGGCTATAGGTTGCAATTCTGTAAATACAGACAATGCAATTTCCCATAGGAACTCCCTTTGCGGCTAAAACTGTGACACTTTTACTATGAAGTTTCGTGAAAAATGATATCCCAGAACGGAAAGTTTATATGCACTACTATTTTATTCAAAGGTCAAAATATAGGGCTGTGCGGCATATTTTCAACATTTATATGCCCTGAACTTCTAAGAGTTTAAACTTATACTAAAATTCTTTACTACCCTTACCTCCATTTTTGGACCTCCTAAGAATTAAAATTTAGCCGCTACCATGTTTTTCTATACTGGTTACATTCCCAAGTGATGTCTCTATGAGATGAAACACAGAGATCATCAATTGGAACCAGTACGTTAACAAGTTAACATACCTATGAATATTAAATATCTCCCCAAAAGAGGCGTGGTTTGAGAAACAGCTGTATTTACAAAGTGCAACCTATATAAACATTTATTCAAAAAGAAAACTCTCTAAAAACACTTTTTCTCACAACAAATACTTTTTTATCAGAATTATAGCCTTAAAGAAATCACTGCATATACTCTAAGTTTCCTTTTACAGTACATTTTATACCCCTACCCCTGTTTCAATTTTTAAAAGATTTTGAAAACAAGACTCTAATTATTGCCAGCTTACCCTATGTGCATGTTTTCTGACATGAACTGTCTAAAACCTGTGTGAAACTACTAGTATTCTGATAACAAATTGAAAGCATTTTAGAATACTATAAATGTGTTGTTTAGTAGTTAAGCATTCCAACATTCAAGATTGTACAAAGTATCCAATCCTGCCTGTGTCTCCAGTCCACATCTTACTGTATGCCTATTTGTCAATGAAAGTTCACAATTTCTGCCTCAAATGGTCAGTTTAGAATTCTTGTCACAACAGTATCATCCCTAACCATATATCTAACATAAGTTAGTTAATATATGAACTAGAAGTTTAAACAAAGCCATATTTGCAAAAGTTGTATTTATGAATTTATTAGTCTGGTGCATAAATTCACTAAAAGTTTGATTGAAATGACTGCTAACATCTGATTTTTGCATAACTTTCTAGCACAGTTATTGTTTACTTTACAAAAGACCTTTAAATAAAAAAATCAGCTTTTTTAAGTTAAATTATCTGTTTTATGACTCAGGGGTATGCATTTTTCTCTGTTTTTTTCCCCTGGGGCCTCATAATTCCAAATTTTTTCCCTGTTTCTAGCAATGTGGAATATTTACTACATATTTAGGATAGAACACACTATTGTAAGTTTTATTGAGGTCTTTTTGTAATTCTAGCTTGTACTTTTTTATGCCGCGGTCACAAAAAAGCACATTTAGGCGTTACGGCTTACTTTTGGGTTATCGACAGGAAAAAAACACCCCACTAAAAATATTTAGTAAGGATCAATGAGTTGCAATTACTGCGAAGAGTAAATATAAGCACTTCTAAACAATTTAAATTACAAATAGGCATATATTATGAATTTATTTTGAATTCAGGGCTTTAAGTAAACCAAGCATACTGTAAACTGTGAATTTATGCTGAGTCATCATAGTTAAGGCCCAGGATTTTCTCAATCTTCATGAAATATTTATAAAACTTCATATTTGAGTTAAATTCTTTAAAATCTCTGAGATAAACCAGATTTTGTGAAATTCTGTATGTTCTATTTTTTAACCCTATATAGGTTGCAATTCTGTAAATACAGACAATGCAATTTCCCATAGGAACTCCCTTTGCGGCTAAAACTGTGACACTTTTACTATGAAGTTTCGTGAAAAATGATATTCCAGAACGGAAAGTTTATATGCACTACTATTTTATTCAAAGGTCAAAATATAGGGCTGTGCGGCATATTTTCAACATTTATATGCCCTGAACTTCTAAGAGTTTAAACTTATACTAAAATTCTTTACTACCCTTACCTCCATTTTTGGACCTCCTAAGAATTAAAATTTAGCCGCTACCATGTTTTTCTATACTGGTTACATTCCCAAGTGATGTCTCTATGAGATGAAACACAGAGATCATCAATTGGAACCA